CCTCTTTCAAAAAAATGTCTATTTAGGTCTTTTGCCCTTTTTTTTTTTCAAAATATATTTTATTGATTTTTCACAGAGAGGTAGGGAGAGAGATAGAGAGTTAGAAACATCGATGAGAGAGAAACATCAATCAGCTGCCTCCTGAACATCTCCCACTGGGGATGTGCCCGCAACCCAGGTACATGCCCTTGACTGGAATCGAACCTGGGACCCCTCAGTCCGCAGGCCGACGCTCTATCCACTGAGCCAAACCGGTTTTGGCTTTTGCCCATTTTTTGATTGGATTGTTTACCTTCCTTCTGTTAAGTTGTATGAGTTCCCTGTAAATTTTGGAGATTAAACCATTACTGGATGTAACATTGGCAAATATGTTCTCCCATGCAGTGGGCTTTCTTGTTGCTTTTCTTTCCTGTATTTTTCCTTTGGTTTGCTTAGTCTCAGTTGTGGGCTGTTTACATTTCCAATTGTCTGCAGCAATTGTTGGGAGTTGTTAAAGAAGCTTTAAAAAATCCTATCAAACTTAATTTTGTCAAGTATCTGATCACAGAGTTACTAAAATCTTTGAACTATTTTGTCAGTAGGTACAAAACATAAGAAATTTTAAACTATCTGCTCAGATAGCCAAAGTTTGTTTGTTTCATGCCGGAAGCTAATTCCAGCAGGTCATAAATGCAAGAAGTTTCATCAAAAGGTTGATGGAACTTGGGGATTCAGCAGGGCTGAATACATATTACCTGCTGCTGGAATAGCTAAGGGCATTTCCCCACACCTAAAGATTTACATATATAATTACCTGCTACCAGACAGCTGAGGACATTTTAATCTACATGTTATTGCCTCCTGCTGGCCAAACACCTGAACTGCCGAAGGCAGTTTCCCCCCATCTGAATGTATACCAAACCTTAACCTTTGATATGTACATATACTTTGCCTTGGAGCAATTTGTGTTAATAAAGAGCGAGGGGTCCAGAGATTCAAAGAACTTGGTTCCTACAGCTAAGCTCCTCTGGCTCCGCCATGGATTACAAATTTATATTGTATTTCTAGTATCTTTATTAATTTACGCCAGTGCCTTCTCCAGTTTGCTGAATGTTTCTAGATGCTGGGAAAGACCCCCGGCAGATTCACATATATAACCTTATAGTTTGCTTTATTCAGATAATGTTCATAAACATTCCCCAAATTTCTTCATTGTCTTCATGATTATTATCTTAGTAACTATGACAAAATATTGCGTTGATCGATATACCATAGTTCTCTTTACCTGTAATCTAATTTTGGACATAAATTTCAAGTATTTGTGACTATGAACAAGGCTATAAAGGACATCTTTGTTATCAGAGGGGAGCATACCTCATCTTCCCCTATTGCTGGTGGGAGTGGGGTTCTTGGGGTACCCCTGCAATAAGCATTTCCTGAGGCCCACACTGGTAGAAAGCTTTACTTCCATGGAATTACACCCTGGGTATCCAAAGTCCCATTTCCCTTAGTCCATCATAGAAGTGTAGCTGGGGCTTCAGTAGAGCTAAAATCAGAGCCAGTATCCAGAGTTTTCTTTACACGTTGGAGCCGGATCCAGTTCAACATCAGGCTAGCTGCAGCCCATTAGTCCACTGCGTGTGGGTCTGCATGGCCATGGGCCATACAGGCAAATGCAAGAGAGCCAAGAGAGCACGCCTGAGCAGTGAGTCCCAGGAGTCCCAAAAGCACAAGAGTCGAGCACAACGAGAGAAGGAATCCCTTTGTTTGGGTGGTTATGTATTCCAAATCTTCATATCCTTGCAATGGCCATGCCTATTCTGAACAACCATCTCTGTCCAGGTGTGACTGACAGACAAGAATCTCCCCTATGTCACCCCAACTTTACATGTGTGTCTTTCCTCTGTGATTCCTTCCCCTGTGGTTTACAAGGAACATGCTTATGTTTTGCCTTCCCTTGCTTCTTTCCTATGATCAATAACTAGTTACCTACAATGGTATCAATCTTTGCATTGTTCATTGAAAAATGATTTCTCCAGGACAAGTGTCCTAAAGTGGAATTACTGTCCATAAAATTTAGTCTATAAAAAACTTTATAGCTCCTAATAGTTATTTTCATGTTGCTTTCCAAAACAGATCGTGCAAACTTCTGTCAGTAGAAGTGTGATCATACCAATTTCACCAGAAATTTCCCAGTAGTGGGCTATTATGTGTAATACATTAGGTCAGCGGTTCTCAACCTGTGGGTCGCGACCCCTTTGGGGGTCGAACAACCCTTTCACAGGGGTCGCCTAAGACCATTGGAAAACACATATATAATTACATATTGTTTTTGTGATTAATCACTATGCTTTAATTATGTTCAATATGTAACAATGAAATTAGGGGTCACCACAACATGAGGAACTGTATTAAAGGGTCGTGGCGTTAGGAAGGTTGAGAACCACTGCATTAGGTGTAATGTGTTACACATAATAAGTATAAAATGGTAGAGCAAAGTTGTCTTAATTTGAAATTCCATGATTACTAGGAAGCATGAACATTTTCCCAAGCCTATACTGGTATTCATATTTTCTCTTATGTGGACCAGTTTCCTTTGGCATCCTCTGAGAGGTCATTTTGTTTTTTTGAAGCTTCTGCTTGTCAACCAGAGAACACATTCCATGGTCCCTGAGAGGTTTTGATTCCCTCCTTTAAGGTGGTGGGGTTGGGAGCAGTTCTTGAGATGGAATCGAAGGTTTTCCTGAATGGCTAGCAGAGTTTTAAATTATTTTGGTTACATTGGTTGATTTTACTAAAAAGGCTCAAGAAAGCCCTGTGCTGGATTTAAAAAGGGAGTGAGCAGCTGTGCGAGATGTTCCTGAAGTTAAAGGAGGGTAAGGGAACCATCCTTGGACGAGGCAAAAGGAATATTTGGTAACTTTGTCATGAACAGTTTTGCTGGCACATGGAATGAAGTAGGTTCAAGGGACAATGGAGGCAAATAGACATCAAGTTTATAGACTCTTTGAATGTTGTTGCAGTAGCTGAGGGGGACAGGGTCAAGGATTTTATTATGTCCTTCTATCAGTGCTGAAACCAGAACAGATTTCTGGCTTTATATAATACTACTAGTGGCCCAGTGCGTGAAATTCGTGCACATTAAAAGGGATTTAGAGGAAATATTTTAATATTGCTATTTGCCCTTCCTCTATAATAGAAGTGTCAGAGATGAAAGAAAATTAGTAAAATGTATATGAAAATTTTCCTCCTGTCAGAGTCTGGGGTGTGTGGTGGGACCCAGAGTCAAATCCCCGCCCACCACACACACCTCGAAATCGTGCAAGACCCAGACACGGCCAGCCCCACTCCTATCAAGCCCCGCCGGGCAGGGGGCACACCCTTAGGTCCCCTGCCCCAGCCGGGCGCCACAGAGCTTCAGGTCCCTGCTGATTGCTCATTATGGCTCGTTATGGGAACCCAGCCTCCAGTGTGGGTGCAGCCAACCTCCCACAGCTGGCCAACCTCCCATGGTCCCTCCCCATAGCCGGCAGACCCAGATGACCCCGATAGCTGGCCAGGCCAAGGGACCCCACCTGTTCACAAATTTGTGCACTGGGCCTCTAGTGTGTGTGTGTGTGTGTGTGTGTGTGTGTGTGTGTGTGTGTGTATGTGTGTGTATATGTGTGTGTGTGTGTGTGTGTGGGCCATATATATATGGCCCAGTGTATGAAATTCATGCACGGGTAGGGTCCCTAGGCCTGGCTGGGGATCAAGACCAATCAGGGCCTTCCTTCCCCCGGCTGCCAGCTGCTGGCTGGGGCCTTCCTTCATTCCACATCACCCCATAGGTGGAACTCCTGGCGGGTCAAACTCCAGAAGAGACAATTCGCATACTAGCCTTTTATTATATAGGATACCACTATTCATTCATCTGTAGACAGACACTTGGGTCGATTCCACTTTTTGGCTATTGTTAATAATGCTGCTATGAACATGGGTGTACAAGTATCTCAAAACCCTGCTTTGAATTCTTTTGAATATATACCAAGTAGAATTACCAAGTCATATGGTAATTCCTTCTTTAATTTTTGAGGAATTGTCATACCGTTTTCCATAGCAGCTGTACCATCTTATATTCCTAGCAATAGTGTATAAGTGTTTCGATTTCTCCACATCTGACCAAAATTATTTTTCATAGAAGTCATCTTAATGATTTTGCCCTCGGTAGGTGATGATCACAATTATTATCAAGTGTGAGTGAAAGGATTTCAATCTAAAATGGAACCAGAGAATACTCAATGGAGACTTTCCCACATGCACCCTCCGGAAAACAGAACGTAAGAATTAGAAAGTGATTTCCCATGTCTGATTCAGAGCCGAAACTTATTTCCTACCAATAAACATTGGTCAAGAACCTTGCCCAGCCAGCGTGGCTCAGTGGTAGAACCTATGAACCAGGAAGTCCCAGTCGGATTCAGGATTGATCCCCAGTGTGGGGCGTGCAGGAGGCAATTCCCCCTCAATGTTCCTCTCTCTCTCTCTCTCCCTCTCCTTTCCTCTCTGAATCAATAAAATATATATTATATATTTTTAAAAAGACTCTTTCCACTTCCCCGAGCCAATGAATTTACTGCGTGGCCTCTGGCTGGGCTTGCCCATAAATACATCTCACCCCGAACTCTCAGGGACTCGCCCACAGCTTCACAGTTTGAGCTTTCGGTCGTGCATGTCTCAACTTCTTAAAGGTTTAAGGTCCCTGCAGATGAGCATGCAGTTTTAGAAATACAGTGACCCCCGTCTATTTCAACTTCCCCAACCGTAACGTCCTGTAAAGCCGCACGGCACAGCGCACCCGGGATCCTGGCATCCGAGGTCAAAACGCACAGCAGTCTCTGTGCGGCCACACGTGCGCCAACTCACACACCGCCCCACCGTCACTGCGACCTTCACACTTATCCTGAGACGTAGGACACCAACAGCCCCGCCACGAGCGCTCACTACCCTTTCGTAGCCACACCCCCTGCCGGCAACCGACTGGTAACCGACGGCCAACGCGGACAGGGCGGGCTCCCCGCAGGGCGCCGGCGAGGGTGCCTGCCGGGGGCGGAGCCGCAGCGGAGCGGCCCGTCCCTTTCCGCGCAGCCGCAGGCCCCGCCCCGTCGCCGCCGCCGACCGACTGCAGGCGGAGGGAGAGCCGCTTCCGTCAGCCTCCGACGAGGGCTGGCCGTGGGCGCAGCTCTGGGCCCGAGATGGCGGGTGTCCACCGCGAGCTGCAGGAGTACCTGGCGCAGGGGAGAGCCGGCGGGGCGGCCGCCGAGCCGCTGCTCGCCGCGGGAACAGCGGAGGAACCCGCGGCGGGGGCGGGGCGGGGCCGCGCGGGCCTGCGCTGGGCGTGGGCGCGGAGCCCGGCGGAGCCGGAGGCGGGCCCGGCGTGCCTGCCGAGCGTAACGCGCGCGCAGCGGCTGGCGGCGGCGGGCGCGTGCCTGCTGCTGGCCGCGCTCTGCTTCGGCCTGGCCGCGCTCTACGCACCCGCGCTGCTGCTGCGCGCCCGCAAGTTCGCGCTGCTCTGGTCGCTGGGCTCGGCGCTGGCGCTGGCGGGAGGCGCGCTCCTGCGGGGCGGCGCGGCGTGCGGGCGTCTGCTGCGCGGCGAAGAGGTGCCGTCGCGGCCCGCGCTGCTCTACGCGGCGGCGCTGGGCGTCACGCTGTACGCGGCGCTGGGCTTACGCAGCACGTGGCTCACGGCGCTGGGCGCCGGCGCGCAGGTGGCCGCGCTGCTGGCTGCGCTGCTGGCGCTGCTCCCGCGAGGCGCCGGCCCCGCGCTCCGCCTGGCGCTCGGGCGGTGGGGCCCGGGCGCCCGCCTCGCCCAGGCGCTGCCCGTGTAGGAGCCGGCGTCGCCGTCGGAGAGCGGGCCGCCCGCCCGCCCGCCAGGCTGTGGACTGGCCGCGCTGAGACGGACGCCAGCGGGTCGGGAGGACCCTCCGCCGCTGCCCGCCGCGGACTGATGCCCGCGAACAGGACGTGGAGCCGAGCGGACGCGCCGGAGACGCCTGCGAACCGCCTTTGCGCCGAGCGCGGTCCTGCGGCCTCGGCGGGGAAACGCCCCCCGGCCCCGCCGGCCTCGGAACCCGGTGGCGGATGTCGTGTAGCTGCCATAGCTTGTCAGTGATTTACCCTCATTCTTCAGTGTGAGCGGATCCATGAAGGGATGTAAACTTAGCCACCGGACACTTTTAAGTACTTACGAGGGATCACGCCGTTTTTTTGTTTTTCTTTTACTGAAGTTGTGAATGTGCTTTATGAGGTTTGAGGAAAGCCACGGACCTAACAATCTGTGTTGCTGCCCGGCCGGCGCGCGCGGTGGCGGCGCCAGGAGGCCACGGTTTGGTCAGGAAACGCTTTAGACGTCGATTGGAGCGCCACTGACGGCGCGCCCTGCCGGGGAGTCGGCCCTGAAAACACTGAGGACCGGTGTGGATGCCCAGGCCGGCGGCCGGCCCTACGTGGGCAGGTTCTGCCCCGCGGACCGCGGTCCGCAGGCTGGTGCTCGGAGAGGCCGCTGACGGAACTGAGAATTCCACAACCAGAGCTCCCATGTTTGATGGAAACCGGTCACGTATAATCTTATTTTATCTGCTTTTGAAGCGAACTGTAGGCCAATCCTAATGCAATGTACGATGCTTTTCATATCTCATTGAGTTTCCTTTTAGGTTCAGCACGTTTTCTGACTCGATTGCACACCTGAATTTATTGCCAGAAAGTACGGGCCGGGTATTCTGATAAGCCCATAAACGCCATGTTTTGCCACTATGTGTCAACTAGAATGAGAAATGAATGTAGGACTTTAAAAGCATTTCGGCGGTTCTCGGTTGGCATCAGTTACTTGAAGAGCCTCCCTTCAGATCACTTCCCTCGACCTCGGCGGCTGTCCGAGAGCCTGTGGTTGCTGTGCCCGAAGGTGCAGGGGATGCAGATCGCAAGTTGTTCCCTGGGGCTGGGTTCCTGCTGCCTGAACAGGTGTGGCAGGCGGCAGGCGAGCACGGCCTCTGCGCGGAACTCAACCTCCATATTCCTAGGCCCTGCGAATGCCCCTGCCACAGGAAGTGACTAGTGATGCACCCACAGGCGGCTCGCAGGCTGCTCCCAGCACCCCCTTCCCAGTGTTCTGTTAAGGTAATGCCTCTTCCTGGACCGGTAAGCAGGGTTACCTACCTCAAGTGGAAAAACCAAGAGGGTGTTTGTAAAAGCAAATGCAGTTTCCAGGGAGTGATTTATTTTTTTAACTGGAAAATCTTGTGCTACCTGCCAGTTAAATCTCTAATTCTAAATTTCTCTAGAATTTTCACTACTGAGATTTTATCATAATTAGCACATTTTTATGATGTTATTTGTAAATATTGCTTTCCCAACATTTTCTCAAGAATTCAACACTGAAAATCTAGCTTTTATAAAAGTCAAACCACCATGTATTTCAATAGTGATGTTTTAAAATGTATATATGTATCTCCTAAGTATTTCATAAATATATAGTGTAGAGATTTCACTTTTTTCTAATTGAATTCATACTCAAAATTTGATCTGGCCTGGCCGGTGTGACTCAAGTGGTTGAGCACCAACCCATGAACTAGGTCAAGGTTTGACTCCTCATCAGGGCACACTGCCCTGGTTGCGGGTTTGAGCCCCAGTGGCGGGTATGCAGGAGGCAGCAGATCTATGATTCTCATCATTGACGTTTCTATCCCTCTCTCCTTCCTTCCTCTCTCTGAACTCAATAAAAACTTTTCTTAAATGTGATCTCCTATTCTGCTTACTGTGTTTTAAAGTTAAAGCCTAAAATGTTATAAAGTTTCTTACCATATTCTCAGAAAAAGACAGAATCCCTCTTCTGCTTCACAGAATTGATACTGACCAGTGGAGGGCAATAAAGGATATCCACAACCTAAAGCAGTCTTGAGCCACCCAGTCATGTTTGCAGTGAGGTGCTGATAAATAAGAGAAAATTATCCACTTATACTTCAGTGATTTGATGCCCTGAATGGGTGACGGCCATTTTCTCACTCTGCAAAAGTTACAGCTTTTACAATTTTTTGCATATGCTGATAAACTATCCCTTAGAAAGGGGAGTTTCTAAGCAGCTACTAAGACTTCCAGCACCACTAAGTTTGCCCAGCAGACTTGTCTCCAATGCCAAACTCCAATAGAAACTTTCCTCTTATAAAAACAAAATAAGGGCCAGTATAGAAAGTATTATGGAGCCCTTTCAAACTGAACTTTTGGCATCCATTCCAAATGGGGCCAAATGTAACATTTAAAACTAAAGGAATTTGTTGTAGACAATAACTTCCTGGCTTTAAGTTAGAACTATACTCAGCCTTATAAACGCTGGTATGGAAGAGAAAGCAATTATTGAAGTTTTACAAAGTTGTTTTAGACATTTTGGTCCATTCTTTTCAACTTAATTTGTGAAATGATGTACAGTCATCAAAAGGATACATGTAGTTAATTTCTGGCTTCCATCAAGTTCCTCTAGTCGGAAACAAGGCAGTTCAAGTCTAAGGTTATTACTAGGAGAAGTACCCAAGGGAGAGCCCCCCTACTTGGATAATGAGAGTATTTTCATAGTATAATTCGCCATCTGCCAGAAGATGTTTAACCAAGGCTTTGAATCTACTTCAACCTATGTTATAGTTTTAAGGTATTTCTCACTCTATTACAAAAATACAGAATGGCTGGATGAGAATTTGTTTAAAAAAGTTCAGAGGTGAAATTAATTTAGAGACTTATAGCGGTTCCATCAAGTGTGCTTACAAGGATAAGCACTAACTGTACACCTTCCACAGACCGGATGCATGGAAACTCAGGGTTTCCTTAAGGCAAGCACATCACAACTAGTTCTTTTCTGTTAATTCTTGCATAAATCACATTCTGTATTCATACAAAAACAACTTAATGTTTTTTCTCTGACAAACTGTACATATAGAAACAAATTTCCAATTGAACATGAACTTAATTTTGAGGAGGTGCTCCTTGTCTCGCGACACTTAAAAAAAAATTCCAGCTTTTATCTTCACAAAAGAATGCAGGAGCTGGGCAGTGAGGTGGACAGGACAGACAAGGCAGCTGCTCCGGGGCCAGCAGCAGTCTCTTCACCTGAAGACCACGGGGCTCCGGGAACTCCGCTGCCCCAGCAGAGTTCAGGGCTACAAGGTGCAGGCTTCCTTTTGTTTCTCTTGTTAAGTCCACAAGGAGTTTTTAAATACTGTCCAGAGAGGCCGCGGGGGACTCAACCCCAACTTCTACCGGCCCCTTCCACCACCCCTTGAAGCTCCTCGCCGTGGTGGACCAGAGTTCATGTTACTCCCTCTACTCCAGTTACTGCCACTCCGGACCCCTCTGGAAGGAGTACCACTGCCTGGAGGGCCCCCAAAAGGTTCATCTCTGTGGTATCCATCATGGTGATCTCCATCCAAGGAGCTGGAACGCCCAGATTTTGGCACTCTTTGGGAAGGTCCTGGGCCCCCTCGGCCTAAAAGGAAACATTGATTTGACATGTGACTTTTTAATATCAGAAACTACTGATAACTCCTGGTACAAACTTGTACTCTGTGATGACAGTACAATACTTGTGGGTTTTTCTTTAAAACAGTTCTAAGGATAAGCATTCAGTGCACTAAGGGTTGTGCCTCTACTCTCTTCTTGACCGCTGTCTCACTCCCAGCCTGGCTGGGGGCCATGCCCCTGCACATGAGCTAGACACGCTCTGCAAGGCAGTGCCGTCACCCTCCTGTGCCACAGGACTATTCTGAGGGCGAGTCTGCACAGCACTGACTGAACTCAGGAAGCACCTGCAGTGAAGGCAATTACAAATGCTAACCTAGAGCACGTGTTCACTAGGGTTAGGCCACAGCCATGTGGCACTTTTGATTTCCTTTTAAATAGTGAAATAAAATATTTCTTGAAAAACAAAAGCGTAGAAAGAAAAATACTAGCTTTTAGAATGATTTCTCCCAGGGATAGTTTTATTTGTTCTAGTCTTGGACACACAAACTTAGGTATCATTAAAATTCTGATTTAAATTTTTTTTTCTCATGAGATGATAGGATTTGGCAACCTCTCCCATAATGCATTATCAGAAGAATATTGACAACTCCTTTTGCCTTAAATTTTTGAATGCAACTGAGTCCAGATAAGACAAAGAGGTTAGGAAAGTTAGCCAAAGGAATATTTTTAGCTTCTTTTCTTACAAAGTGCAGCCTAGAGACCCACAGAAGGTGCAAGGGGAAAGCAGGTGTCAGCTGGGATATAATTTTCACACTAGGCACGTGGCCTCAACCAAGGACCTAAACGGTGTCCTGAGTGCCCATATCGACCAGCAGCAAAATGTGTGCTGAGACGGGGAGATCTGGTGGCAGGAGGCACATTCTGAGGGGTTTGCTAGGAGAAGGACCAAACAACTGTCAAGAACAAAAGCCAGAACTTTGTCAGGAAGGCAGGTTACCTGGGGCGTGGAGCACAAGTTGGAGCACATGGTGGTCTTTCCAGCAGCCTCCACACCACACCCTGTACCATAGCCCCATCTAACCTGAGACCAGAACTGTCGTTAGCATTTGGTGGCTCCTGCCCTGGCTAAACGTTAGTGCTGCATCAAAAACAAAGATCCAGCCCAACTGAGTGGCTCAGTGGTTGATCACTGACCTATGAACCAGGAGGTCACAGTTCAATTCCCGGTCAGTTCACATGATTGATGTTTCTATCTCCCTCTTCCTCTCCCTCTCCCTTCCCCTCTGAAATCAATAAACACATATTTTAAAAATAATAATAAAGATCCAAAAGTTGTAGAAATAATCTTAATGCCCCCACTTGAAAACAACCCCTTCCAGGCCATGCTGCCCAAAGTCTTTGTGACTGGGCACACCAGTGAAACCCTGGAGCCGGGAGAGGACCAGTCCCCCCGCCACGCACAACGGAGACCTCCAGGGTTCCGAGCAGGCGTCAGTGCAAAAGGCACCACCAACAGCGACAGTGCTGGGCACCCTGACAAAGAGCTGAACTTGAACAAAGCAGAAGTTCTCTTTTTTTTTTTTTTAAGAATTTTGAGAGAGAGGAAGGGAGAGGGACAGAAACATCCATGTGAGAGCAAAACATCAATCAGCTGCCTCCTACACACTCCCCAGGCATGTGCCCTGACTGGGAATCGAACCATGACCTCTTGGTGCACAGGATGATGCCCAACCAACTGAGCCACACCCGCCAGGACAAAGCAGAGATTCTTGCAAGCAAGTGGAGGAGACCTGTGCAGAAGGCAAACTTGCAATCCTGAGTGAGAGCACCGACTGCCTGAGGGGTGAGCCTAAGCAAACTGCATCTGCACCACCTTTGGGAACATGTGCCTTCCCGCAGCCTAAGCCCTGGAGGGTAGCACAGTGCCCTGGAACAGGCATTCCCTAGGAGGGCTGCCTGGAGATGAGGCCCCCAGAGGTCCCGCAGCCTTTTTGGCAGGCTGTGGCATCCACAGCTCCCAGAACTGGAAACTGGCCTCCACTTACCTTTGCCTCCTCGATCTTCAGAAGGACCCCCGGGGGGTTCCATTTCTCTATGCTCAGAGGTCCCTGGCCCATCATGCCAGGGGCGCTTTCGAGGTGGCAGGGATGCCATGTCCATGCCTTGGAGAGAAGAAGAACGCTCTCTGCTAGCTGGGGAATGACCATCATGAGGGGGATGGTCCGGGCGGGGAGCATCACGGAAATGTTCATGACCTGGCCCTGAAACAGAAACGCAGATGGACAAGGCTAAGAATCTGACAATCGCATTATATTACAATATGACCAACAGCAGACAGAAATTATACTGTTAAGAATTAGTAGCAATGTGAGAACCAACATTCACTCATGCAAGGAACATACCATGAGCACATATAAAAGGTCAAGATCAGAAATCAACCTACCCCCTAAATTAAGAGGCAGGTAAGGTCCAGAAAAGTGGATCTCAAACTTTTAAGTCTGAGGATCTCTTTACCACCTTAAATTTCTGGGGACCCCAAAGAGATTTCATTCATGAGAGTTATAGCTAACAATATTTGCCATATTAGCAATTAAGATGGGGAAAACTTTAATTCTTTTAACTACCTTTTTCAAAAACAAAACAATGAAGTGAAAAGAGTGCTGCTGTTTTCTATCCAGGCCAATCCCTGCAGAAATGCCCGGCTCACGGGAAGCAAGCCAGGCTCCAGCCGTCTCTGCACTCCATCTCTCCTCACCAGTGAGGCTGCTGGCTGGAGGCGTGACAACAGTCCAGCCTCTGCTGGTGATGCCAGTTGGAAGAGAGAGAACCTGGTGGGCCTGGAGGGTTTCAGGCCCCAGGGTCTTGGAACTGCTGCCTGGAGTCACCACAGCCCCGGGCAGTCTCCTGCCTTACCTGGCTCTCGACTTCCATCCCAGGAGTCTGGTTTCCGACCTCCTTCAAAGCGAGGGAATTCATCAGGAGTGGGAAGTAAACCCTTCCTTCCTCCTACACAAAGAACAAAACACCACACTCACGTGCTGTGTCAGGTGTGTTCCCAGCTCTGACCTCCACAGCCCTGCCCTTCACGGAGCCAGTGTCCTCAGCACATACCTCGTGGGGCACCCCGACCTCTGCCCCGGAGGTCTCTTCCACGGGCAGCTTCCTCAGAAACATCAAAGCTCTCCTCTGGACCGAAGTCATCAGGACCAGGAAAGCCATCCCTTCCTCGGGGGGGAGCCCGGCCTTCGTGTCTCGGGGGGGCTCCTCTTCTGAAACTGTGAGGAAAGCAGCAG